CTTAGTTTCTAGCTTAACATATTCAATATTTTCACCTACTCTCTTCCAACTTTTTCACCAGTCAGGAGAAAGGCACAGTATTGGGTACTTTTCTATTTCCCCTTCACTGCCAGGTTTCTAGAATGAACCTTTGAGCAAAACTTCCTGAGCAAAACATGCCTTCTTAAACACTTCACCTTCTTGTGCATATTAGACTTTCCTGTATGTTAGAGCCTTTAAAGGGGGGGGGGGATTACAAGCCTAGTGTCACAACCAAAGAACCAACACAAAACTGCTGAAATCCTTATTTCCTTCACATTAGCTTTCAGAAATGGTATCCTCTGACTGTCCACTCTGCCCCATCATCTTCCTACCGTCTTGTTCCACTTCTTGGGTAGAGCAGGCTCAAATCATGATGGCCACATACCTTTGGGCTTTGGCCACAGCTACCCTGCACTTCCATTCATCCCCTGCTGCTCCTCTCTCCTTCCCAGAGCCCAGTGGTCACTGTGTGTTCATCCATCAATGGCCCAGACAGAGGACATGCCTCCGTCGCATTTTGACCTAATTTTGACCGTTCCGCTTTAAGAGCCCCTGGTGGTTGCAAACTGCAGATTATATATTTACAGGGCTGACAGAAATGTCCACCACAATTGCAGTGTAATAAATGTGGTCTTAATAATATTCCTCCGTTTTATTAATCTGCAGTTACATGGTTAACATGAATCTTATTTAATGCGCAATTTTTCATGGCGGGAAGAAGCCAAGGCTCTTGATTCCTTTCGGGCCAAGGACCGTCAAGATTGGTTAATTGGCCCCAGCGACTTGGTTGTGCAAACCACCCTCACTGTTTGCTTTTCTGACAATAAAAATGAGCAAAGCATTGTAAATAAATTTAGCCCCTTTCCCCCCCTGACATAAACCAGATCTCCTCCACTACACGTTTTTTCCAAATTTAAAGAATCCCCACTGGAAGCTACACTCTGTAGTTCTTTCTGGATTACCTCCCTCTCCCTCTCTGTCTCTCTCAAGGTTGCAATTCGTTACCTTTAATGAGCCTTAACACACTTTCCCTTCCACTCTGCCCTGTCACTTGCTCATGATCGGCAGACCGCTGAGAGCAGCGTGGAAATTCCTTCCAGTTTCCGTAGGAGACAGACTGTCCCCCTGATGCAGCTTACTTAGCCCTGGGGTGGCAGAAAGGAAAGTTGGCTGTTTCTGGGTGCCCAGAGCTTAATGCTGGAAGCCAGCTGTGAGTGCTGGTTTCAAACAGTCTGATCTCCAGGAGCTTAACCCAAGGAGCTGAGGCTCAGGCAGGGCAAAGTGTGAGTGTGAATAAATATAAACTAAAAATAATACAGAGGTACCTCGGGTTACATACGCTTCAGGTTACATACGCTTCAGGTTACAGACTCTGCTAACCCAGAAATAGTACCTCGGGTTAAGAACTTTACTTCAGGATGAGAACAGAAATCGTGCTCCAGCGGTGCGGCGGCAGCAGGAGGCCCCATTAGCTAAAGTGGTGCTTCAGGTTAAGAACAGTTTCAGGTTAAGAACGGACCTCCGGAACGAATTAAGTACTTAACCTGAGGTACCACTGTATGGGGGGGGGTTAAGTGGGGGAAGAGGCAGGACATCTGAGGCCTTATATAAACGATATATTTAAAGCAGTATCCTACAACTCTAAACAGAGCCTTGGGTTTCCCCAATGAATCCTGGGAACTCTGGTTTGCTAAGGGTGGTGTGATCCCTATTCTCCTAACTGAGCAACAATTTCCAGAGTTCCCTGTTAAACCACTCTGTTTTAAGTGGTGTAATGCAGCTTTAAGTGTATGGCGCCCACTGCAAAAGACACAGGGTTCCCCCAATATGCCTCAAGCAGATGCCCAGGATTGCTGGGTGCTTGTGCCAGACCTCATCTTCGCACACCCTTGCCCCATGGCAGCAACCTCCTCACTTCCCAGTGATAGTGAAACAGGCTTGTACCAACGGTGATGCATGGCTGTGCCAACACACCCACATGTGATCAAACTGCCAGTGGCTTGCCAATACACTTGGGCAAATGTGGCAGTGCCCCACCAACTCCAGTGTGCTATCAGCCAGCCCTCCCACCCACCTGCCTGCCTGACTGACCTACAACCCATCCCATAGTCTCAGTGCTGCCCCTTGTAGAACTCAGCAGGGAGAAAGGATGGCAACAAGTCTAGTATTAATTGGTTCCACCTGTCATTGGCTCTGGCGCCACCCACTGTCAGGCTCCCTGCCTTCCACCCCATAGGTCTCGATGGGCACCAACCACGGCTGCTATAAGTGCTGCCCAAAGTGGCAACATATAAGGAGAAGCTGCTTGCTCCTTGTTGCTGTTGCCAACACGCTGGCTCCTGCTCCAGCCCAATTGCAAGTCCCACAGAAGTCCTCATTTGCACAAACAGGCTTCTATGTGCACTTGAGTGTTTCAACTCAGAGGGTGGCTGTTCTTCTTCCCTCCCTCCTCAACCCCCCCAACTGCCTGCTCCTGTTTGTTATTCATCAGTTTACTCTTTGCCATGTATTATCCATTATTCCCCTGCTTTCAAAGAGCGCAGAGTCAGATGTAAATTGTGTAACTGAAAACATAGCACAGATAGGCTGCATGCAATCCTCCTGCAGGACTTGTCAAGCTTTTTGAAAACCAGCAAGGGAAGGGGAGTGGGGGGACCCAAACATCAAGGTTGGTTTGCAACTGAAAGGGGAAGAGAAAGGAAGAAGAGTTTCCCATGGTTTGTATTGTCACATTATGGCAGATTTACATTCCCAAGGAACAGCTGCGTGTTGGTCTATAGTTAGGTGATTCCTTAAGGGCCAGCTTCTGCAAGAGACTCACAAGCGACAGTGAAGTTTAACAGACAAAAGAAATAGCCTGAGCAGACCGGAAGACCCATTGAAGACAATGGGAATGATGTTAGCATAGCGTAGCTTAGTGCCAGTGTAAGTTCCAGTGGATTGCTGGTCACCTATCTGAAATGCAAGGAGTTTGGAATAGGGGCCAGTCTCCCCCAGACCTCACTATGTTCTCCTTTGGGGGGACTTACCCTGGCCTCAGTTCAGCCAGCTGCAGATGAACTGGGATGAGTGACATAAGCTGGCTTAGCACAGGCTTAGCTGGAGATCTGCCTTTTGCAAACTCTGCTCATCCCAACAGAACTCGGGTTTGGATTACCCGTTAAGTCTGACTTGGGTGATTTGAGTGAAGTTTGTTTACGGCTTGCTACCAAGTTTTGCTGATGCTCTTGAATGCTTAGAAGTTTAAAAGTTGTCTCTGCCTCCCTCCCCCAAGTCAACAGGACTGAAATAGGACAGCTATCTCATAAACAACTAGAGGTTATGTCCATAGGGCATGATTAGTACCCAAGCTGGAACTTCTAAGCTTTCAAGAAGGACCATTTGTTCCTCCTTGGCCAGCCTCCCTTCTCCAAACCCAAGCCTTATACTATGGCTCCACCTTTGTGCATCTATCATTTTAGTCTATGCAGACTTCTGCAGCTTGAAGCACTCCAGATGGTGTTGACCTCCAGCCCCAGCCAAACATGGCCAATAGAGACATGGGTGTAGCCAAGGAGGGCGGGGGCAGCTGCTTCCCCCTAGATCAGAGGTCAGCAACGTGCGGCCCATGAGCCAGATGCAGCCCACGAAGACTGTTTTACTGGCCCACGAGCCGCCCGCTCGGTGAATTCCCCACGTGCTGCGCTAAACCAGTGTGGCGCAGGGACTCGCTGAGTGGTGCTGGAAATGGCATCTGCGCAGGCACGATTTTTGCCATTGGGCATGCGCAGAAGCGATTTTCAGCGCTGCGGACATGTGCAGACACGATTTCCCGGCATCACGCTGTACCAGTCCAGCCCACGGATGATCTCCGTGGGAGTGATCCGGCCCATGGCCGGTAAACCTTGCCGACACCTGCCCTAGATCAAGTAAAACAATAGTAATACTTAACTAACTGACCAATCACGTCGGTTCTGCCCCCTCAACAAAACTCCTAGCTACGCCCATGGGCAGAGATGATGGGAGTTCTAGCCTGACCACTTCTGGAGAGTGCCATGTTGGCTACTCCTGGGCGAAGGATCCTTCTTAAAGAATTCTGAGCTCCCACATTAAACTGTGTTCAGAAAAGACAGAAACAAAACTTTATGAAGTTAATATACTCAACATTATTAAAGGCATCCATAAAATGCAGTATTAAACTCTGATAAATGCAAATGTTGCAAATTACTGTGTGTGACTAAAACTGGGTCACAAAAACACAAGTTTGCAGAACTCCTTGGGGGATGAGTTGAGTATTAAGCCAAATTATGTGTGATAGTGCAATTATATAGGAAAAGAAAGAGAGAGAAAAGAGAAAGCTTTTGGAGAAAGAGGGTACAGAGTTGGAGCTTGCTAATAAATTTAACTGTATTTTGCAGGATTAGAGCAGCTTCCTTTATTACAAAAAACTATTGTCTCCCATTTGGTTCTGCAGTCTATTCAGTGCCATGGTAATAATTTAGTATTTTGCATTTGATCCACAAACAGATATTTAGCCCTTGCATTGTATTCATGTTTAGGACTGAGCTGAAAGTGAGGAGGGGGAATGATTTTGCAAACAATTTGAAAGATATGTCTCCTTTTAGCGATTTTTTCAGGGATTGCTTATTCAGGATTGTTTATTCAGGAAGCCCGGTTATCAATTGGAATAGGCTGTGTCTGTCCTCAGACGATCGGCTATGTGGTGTTATTTGAGATCCCTGATGGGCTGGGATCATCACTCTTGCCCTGTAGCATATAACTGCCCTGTTGTGCCATGGCAGTTTGAGCTAGGTCTGGAGAATCTGGAAGAGTTTTTGCTCATTGTTACATGTGTTTTGAATTGCCATTTTGTCCATGCATAGTTCTGCTTCCCCTGGCATATCGTATTATGAAATGTATTTGTGTGTTTGCAACTTGCAACTTTTAACCTTTTCTACGCTTTCTCTCTGCTCTCCTCCTCTCCTCCCCCACCTTTTTAGCCTGCGACTGCCACCCTGTTGGCGCAGCTGGAAAAACTTGCAACCAGACCACTGGACAATGCCCATGCAAAGATGGCGTGACCGGGTTGACCTGCAACCGCTGTGCCAAAGGTTACCAACAGAGCCGGTCACCAGTGGCCCCATGCATCAGTGAGTACCGCTGCCAAACTTCTCATGCTTTGTTGTCATGGGCTTCTCTGATGGCAATGACAGCTTCTGCAGCTCGGACGATGATGACAAATTAATCAATTGGATGCCTACCCCACACATGGCATCAAACACATTGGTGATAAAACAATGCAATTAAAAAGAAAGTGAAAATAAAATGTAAAAGTTAAAAACGTTTTAAGAGCATTAAAAAAAATTAAAAGGATGCTAATTATCATTGCCATTATTTATTTCGTTTATGAATCACATTCCATCAGTTATGCCGATGTGATTTACAATGTAATAGTATGTATATAAAAAAAGTTGCATCTATAAAACAGTTGAACTGGTTGCCTATTATATGGTTTAAAGCAACAGGGCATATATAAAAAATCCAAGACAGATACCAACTGGGGGAAAGTTTTAGAACGCTTGTTGAAGGAAAGACTTTAGCAGGTGTTGAAAAAACAAGAGAAAGTGTCTGTATAATGGGAGGAAGCATGAGAAGGCAGGTGTTGCAACGCTTAAAGCCTGGTTCCAACATTGTGTGGCATGGAGCCTTCTGATAGGGTAGATTCTGCAGGATGCCCTCTCCTGCAGAATGAAGTGATTGGTTGGGTATGTAAGGGATGAGGTGATCTTTTAGGTAGCCAAGTCCCAAGCTCTATATCACTGTGTAGTTTGCACACCAATGCAGTCGTACCTTGGTTTTCAAACAGCTTAGTTTTTGAATGTTTTGTTTCCTGAACGCCGCAAACCCAGAAGTGACTGTTCTGATTTGCGAACTATTTTTGGAAGCTGAACATCCAATGGGGCTTCCACGGCTTCCTGCAGCCAATCAGAAGCCATTTGGTTTTTGAACATTTTGGAAGTCAAATGGACTTCCGGAATGGATTCTGTTCGACTTCCAAGGTACCACTGTACCAGCAACTTGAACATAGCCTGTTAGCTAATTGGCAGCCAATGAATCCCAGAAGAATGTAATAGAGACTGACAGGTTGTTACTGAAGATAAGCATTCAACCAGAAAGTGACATTTTAGAGCTATTTATTTCAGATGTTTATAGCCCACCTTTCTTCTATCATGGAACTCAAGGTGGCATACATTTATTTTATTATAATTTATATTTAATGCCCGCTCTGCAATGAATGTTTCCAATTCCCGAGCAAGGAACAAAGTAATAAAAATAAACAGTGAAAAGCAATCTACTAAAATTACGAAATCATATAAACACGTCCAATAAACAACTCCATCGTAAGGTAAACAAGCAACACTCCAGCAACAAAAATTAATATTTCCAATTGAACCAAATACCTAGGAAAAACAAATGAAACATTCAAACATATAGAAACAGCTAAACAACCAGTGATCTTTGTGTGAGAGGCAGAGAGGCCCCCACTCTATGCCAACAGACTCTCACTTTGTTCACCCCCACCCTCCAAACCACCCAGACTCTCACTCTGAGGGGCCTAATTGCTACCCACAAGCATCCACAACAAGAAACTCCCACCCCTGACCCACAGTAGCAACAAAGCAAAAAAGGTCCTCAGACAGCCTTCTATCTCAGCACTGACCAGACCTACATCTGCTTAGCTTCAACAAGGTGGTGGCTGTATCATCATCTGCCTTTTGGCTTGCTTTTTGTTTTCAGCATCCTCCTTGCACGGGTCGGGTCCCGTTCATCCTGAGGTTTGGTGTCTGCCTTGGGGACTGTGCGGCTCCTAGAGATACAGGAGAAATTTGGATCAGCTCACAGCTAATGTGCACATTTGTAAACTGAAACATAGCTACCCTTCAAGAGCCACACTCCTCTAGTTTCTGCAGATGTAGTTCTCAAACCTGTCTGCTGGAAGTGGGAAGGGACGGTGGCCAGGCGAGCACACACATGCTCAAGCCAACTAAGAAATTTCACCTTTTCTTTTCCAGAGATTCCTGCCATCAACCCCACCTCCGTGGTCACTAGCACAGAAGAACCAGCAGGTGAGTGCTTATTCTGTTGAAACGCAAAAATGGGAAGACTGCCCTGGCTTTGTAAACTTTTTATTTTTGCCTAACTTTAGGGGATGCTTCAAAAAAAAAAATGCTTGCATGAATGTCTGCCCAGATTTTGGAGATTTGAACAACCTGGATTTGTTTCTGAAGTGGAACTGATGCACTCAGAGCTCTTCCATCGTTTTCTCTCTCCAAATGTGTGTCCAAAACTTCCTATAGCTCTCAGTTATGGAACGTAGGAAGCTACCTGCTTTATATGGAGTCAGACACATTGGTCCATCTAGCTCAGCATTGCCTACACTGACTGGCAGCAGCTCTCCCAGATTTCAGACGGTACATTCCCATCCCCAGGTTGAGATGCTGGGGATTGAGCCTGGGACCTTCTGCATGCAAGGCAGATGATCTTCCGTGCAACTACAGCCATTCACTTCATCTGTTCCTTTGCTCCCTTTGTATCTTTCCAGCACCGCCTCCACGTAAACTATTTATTGATTGCATTTTTAGACACCATTGAACTAGATGGAACAATGGTCAGACTCAGCATAGGGCCACTCCCTGTGTAGGTCAGGCTGGCTGGGGCTAATGGGAGTTGGAGACCAAAAGTCTCTGGAGAGCCACAGGCTCTGTGTCCCTTTCTCAGGTTGACAGCTGGAATTTCGATGCCAAAGCTGCTCCTAGCCTCAGAGTTTGCTCGAGGGCAAAAGTGACCAGGTTTCCACCAACTAAATCACAGGCCATAGGTGCAAATGTGGTTCTAAATCCACTGCCTCCTGGTGCATTTCTGAGGATCAAGGGTTGTCCATCACCCCCACTGCTTCTTCCCAGGTGCAAGAGATTCCTCCTCTTTGTTCTTGGCTGCCACATTAGTTACCTGTGGGAAAATATTTCTGTCTCAAAATTCTGCTGCTACTAGAGATGGCTGGATCCTCGTTTCTCTGTTCTGTGTCTCAAAGTTTCCAATTTAAATTTTATGCTGTTCGGCTCCTATCAGATGGATTGCTGCAAATTATACATTTGCGAAAACACAGCATTCATTTTTCTATGCTATTTTCACCAATGCAATCATTATTATGATTATTATGAAGGCATGCTTTACCTTACTATGTGCATTTTTGTGCCCGTTAATTGAAAGGAGAAGTTCACTGCAAAAATTTCAGAGAAGTGTGAATTTCATAGGATAGCTATGTTTCCGTTTGCATATTGTTTTCAGAAAGTGTGAATTAGGTCGATTGGCTTTCACATGCGAACTGAATCAGACATCTCCCCCCACCCCCACCCCCCAACCACAGAGCAGAATGATGCACCATGGGGGCCTCTTTGTCAGGGACTTTGGACATGTAATCAGACCTGTGCGTAGAAACTGCAGGTGGAGGGTGCAGCTGGAACAATGTGGTGGGTGAGACGCGGTGAGAAGCGGGGTCGCAGAGCTCCAAAAAAACTGCAGTCCTTCTGAATTAGGCCACCTTCTCATGCCCCATTTGTCCAATGTGGGCACACGTAAAGCCCCGCGTCCTACCTAGAACAACAACAACAGCCAAACAAACCAAAACCACCACTTGCGTTTAGCAGTCTCTCCTTATCCTCCACCCCTTCTCTCCAACACAATTGCTCTTTTGTGCTAGGAATTCAGTGGGAATGTTCTTTTGCTTCGCCCCATTACATGGACTTCTTGCTGAATCGCTTGCGAAAACTTTCCCTTTGCCATTCTCTTCTGCTCTTCCTGCCTGCCCCTCCCAGCCTGATACAAGAGTAGGGAGTTTGTCGTCACCCCGAACAGAAATGTCAGAGAATTCCAATGAAAATGGCCATGGGGGCAGAAATTGCTAATGTCTGTGTATTCATCCTATGTCCAGAAAGCAAATCGATCCGGTTGTGGTTGCTTTCAGTCTGCAAATGATATGTAATTGACTACATTCCCCCCCCCCCCATTTGCATTGCATGTCCTATGCCCTGGTGGAATAAAATCTGGGGAATAAAATCATGGCAACTCCCTACTTTCCTCCAAAACGAAACTCCTCTCTCCTCCCCCCCCCCCACATTTTGGCTGTTAGGCCTCTTAATTAGGCGCATCAAAGAAGGGACACTTCAGGAAAGGGGGTGGAGGTGTGGACCGAGTTTCTGTATATCTTCATTCCAAGATACATTTGGGAAGGAAAGATTCAGATTTTGTTTAAAATATATTGAGGGCTCTTATGAAAAGTTTTAGTTGGAAAAATATAAAAGGAACTTGATGAAAAACCTCGGCTCTTTATTTTTACTTTTCAGCAGAGGAAGTCTGCTTAAGTGGTCCATAGAATTATCTGTGGTTTTCTTTTTATAAACGCCTGCTTCTAGTTCAAATATGTGCAGAGTATGTTGCTGCTTCCCAGAATACACTTTGAAGAGCCATATTCCGGGTCCACCCTGGGAGAACCTGGGTACTTGGGACAGGAAAACCAAGGCAGGGGTGGGGGGCTGCTTCTTGAAGAAATTTTAAGCAAGGTCCTTTTCAGAAGAGGCACTGAGTGCCCACTCTCCTGAGATATGCAGTAGCTGAGTTAGCACTGCATTCCTAACCATGTCTACGCAAAAGTAAGACCTATTGGATCCAATGGGGCTTACTCGCAAGTAAGCGGGTTGCAGCCTCACTCTGTGCTCGGAAGGTGTGTGTATGTGTGTTGTCATTTGTTTATTTTTAGAAAGGTATAGAAACCACTTAATCGCAAAACTATCTAAGCAGTGTACTTAATAAGATGGTTGATATCAGAAGTGCAGAGGTTAGATTGTTGGGAGAACAGGGGTCAAATCCCCACTCAGCCATGAAAATCATTGGGTAGATTTGGGCCAGTCACTCAGTTTTAGCCTAACTCACATCACAGGGTTGATGTGAGAAAAAAAAGTGGGGAGGAGGACAACAACTATGTATATACCATCTTGAGGTCCTTGGAGGAGGCAGCAGAGTTGAATCCTAGAACTGTAGAGTTGAAAGGGACCCTAAGGTTGGTCATCTAGGCCAACCCCCCAAGACCATTACCTTGCCTCTGCTGTGCTGAATTAGTGCCAAAACATCTAATACGAACAGAATCCCGAGAGTGTGATACTCATTTCCCAAAGATGGAGGTGGAATTTCTCTAGGTGACTTGGGGGAGCCTCTTTGATGCTGAGTTTCATCATCATATTTGGGCCCTTTCTTTGAGGCCTGAGATCACCTAGATATTAAGGCTGAACCGTTTCCACTTTCGTGCCCCTGTTCCTCAGGCTCGAACTGAGAATTGTTTATTTATTTACCAAGCATTTGTAGTACCTGACAAACCAGAATACAAGTGTTGACAATAAAATCCATTATCATTTTAAAAAAAATCCAACCAAAGACATAATCCTTTAAAAGTCTGTTTGTAAACTTGGCTCTGCAAGATTTCCATATGCTGCTGATTCATATTCATATTTAGAGCTAATAATTATAAATAAAAATACAGGGTTGTATCCTGAGCTATATACAGAAATGAAAAGGGAAATGAAAGAACCTAAGTTAGGCCTGTTGGTTAGTTGTAACAGGTCTACTCTGAGGCAGATTAATATTGGCTATAACCCACAGTATTTTAAACAGGACATCCGGGAATTACAGAAGCCATCCCTGCTTCTGATTAGAACCTGGAATGTCCAGTTTTTTGCTCTGGCGCTAGTCAGCTGGCTCGCACCAGATCGCAGGACGCAATCATTTTTTGGTTTTGCGCAAATCAGCTGGCTTCCTTCTGATGTGGGATTGACTGTTGGCAACTACTGTAGGAACTGTAGCCCTGGAAGAGGAAGAGGGAGTCTCCTAAGAACTCTCAGCACCCTTAACAAATTAATTAATTTTAAGGTGATATCATAGTACTTTAGAGTGTGGTGTGAATGTGGCCTAAATCTGGAGAGAGAGTGACTGGAACAACTAACAACAAAATGACAAGCAAGAGCTGTCTGAACTTAGGATCTTTCTCTCTCTCTCTCTCTCTCTCTCTCTCTCTCTCTCTCCATAAGGAGAGGGGGAGGGAGAAAGCTGTTGCTTGGGCTGGTCTATGTGGAGTGGGGGGCTAGTAAAGGGAGTGGGAGGGGGAGAGTTGAACACCTGAACGGCAAGGGGACTGAAACAAATAGAGCACTGTTACCAGACACCTCAAAGAATCTGACACACCTGCTGTATGTTTAGAAAGCCTTTAGAGATGAAATAACTGGTGTTTTGTTTTGTTTTTTTGGTTTTTAATAAGGGGAAAGGGCTGCACGGATGAAGAGGAATGATTTGGGCTCCCAACACCAACACCACCCACCTTGGCTTCTATTCAGGCTCAGGCCCCATCTGACTATAAATGTTTATGGCTGAAAATGGAAGCTGCACGTCTAGTTCCTGCTCTGTAAATGTCAAGTTACAGGGCAGGGCTGGCAACTGTGCCCTCTCCAGATGTTTTGGGCTGCCCCAGTCAGCATGGCCAATGGATGGTGGAATTGTAGTCCCCCACATTAAGAGTGAGGCACCATGGCGGCTGTCCCTCAATTAGAGAAAAGGGAAGTCCTTCTCCCCAGTGGAAAATTGTGAAAAGAGCATCATTTTCCCACCGGCAATGCTGGGGCTTAGGAACATAGGAAGCTGCCTTATAACAAGTCAGGTCATTGGTCCACCTAGCTCTGTATTGTCTATACTGACTGGCAGCAGCCCTCCAAGGATTCTGGCCGGGCTCTCTCCCAGCCATACCTAGAGATGCTAGAGATTGAACCTTGGACTTTCTGAAGGCAAGGCTGATGCTCTGCCACTGAGCTATGGGTCTTCATAGCTTATGCAGTCCCTGTCTCCTCCCTGGTGTGGAATAATGCTCCCCTGAGGAGTTGGGGGGTGTCTATGCTGCCTGCCCCAGGCAATGCTTCTAGGCCCTTTGTGGGAGGCAGTGGCAGGGTCACTTTGATCACTAGTGAGCAGTGTGTACAGAGGAATAATCCTTTGTAAACTCTAGCACATAGGGCACACAGAAGATTGT